ATTCTTAACGACACACACCGATCTATTAAATCTCCTTCGCCGACGACTTCACGTCCACATACTGCAACAACGTCGAGGTCAGTGTCCCAAGCCAGAGGCCAAACAAGCAGAAGTGCCAAGTCGAGGAACGGTGTTAGGACATCACCGCCTGTGGAGGCAGAGTCAGAATGCGAGAAGAGGGATGCTTCTTCGAAGGAAGCCTTGGTTCAGTTGTTCAATGTGTGGCAGCCCCAGCTCTGTGCTTCCTACAGACCCCACGTTGAATACTCCCCAACAGATCCGGATACCATTCAAGCTTACGTTAATGCTATGGTGGTGGGGGAAACAGCACTCTCCCCGTCTGGAGAAATTCAGAGCCGTGGAGCGAGTCGTGGAGACAGTGAACCATTTCAACCACAGCGGCCACCAACACAGAGGACGGGATTCCAGGCTGTCGCAAGGTCATATCAAGACGTAGTGTGTCACAGTCGTCGTAGCTTCTCCTGGAAACGCTTCCAAAAACTTTCGTACATGTACTTCCTTGTGAATTCAAGTGAAGGACGGTGATGACTTGATGATATTTTGATATTTATTCACGGAACTGTTTCGATAATGCTTGCCACAGTGGCATGAAGACTGGAGCTCAATTTTAAATCATCACACTAGAATGAAGGGGTATAGTTTTCTTACGCCGTATTCCAACAATATCACAACAAGGACACCAGAAATGGACTTCACACATTGTACCCATGTTGGAAATGAAGACCAAGTCTTCAGATGGACAAGCAAACGACTAAACCACCAGACCAGCAAGCGCTCTTTAAAGACTTCTAGAAATAATTCGTGTTGCTGTGGTGTTTTCTTAAGGAAAGCCTAAAGGAATACACTTAGACAATCTCATTGTGCATTCAAGTATAATTCATCCAGGTATATCGAAGCCGGATACTAGTATATCGGAGTAACGGCTACGATGAAACAGTTCGCATACCAAGCCGTAGCTGTCGATGTTATTGATCATGCGAGTAGCCGTCTCCGGGCGTCACACTGACCTCAAGGTTTAGTAGAGTACCGGCGGACATTGCGAGACACTGTGACACTGTGACAACGTTGGACGTGTGGACTCTCGTGCGTTCTCGTGTGTTCACGTAATCCGACATCGCCTCCAGTTTCCTCAAGGTGTCCACTCCCAGCTATCAATATAGTCATGTGTCACGACTGTGACATCTGCAAGTGCCTATAATCATCACAGCAGCGTATCAAAAGGAATCATAATAATGCCTCATTTGTTAAGGTCGTCTTACACTGTCTGGGTTTCCAGACAATCTGACACCTGAGAGCTATTGTGTTGCTGGATGGTCTTTAGTTTACCATTATCCCCATTGTCTTTGAACGTTCCAACTTGTCAGTCAAGAGGCATTCTGGTGAGATACCGTCAGCTTAGTCTTCGGCCATTTACCATTATTTTTACGTTTCAGTGGGAGACACTCTTTACAAGGAATGCTTATTTTATCCTTTGTAATGTCATTATACGCGTTTAAATATGCAATTTTACATTGAACAGAAGGTTGCAGCGTTAAGTGTGTGTAGGACATACCCCCTTTCTTATGTACTCTTTAGCACTGTTGGTGAAAATAAATGGCGTCAAACGCTAAATGCTTGAAACACCTAAAGTTTTGTGTTCATTAGTTTCTCTAAAATACAAGCTACCGTTATCTGGAAATTACTATATGTTTTGAAGTAAGTCGGGAATTTAACATCACTAACTCGAAATCCAGGACTATGGAATATGCGTCGGGTTATCCGAGCTTCGAGACAAGCGGGGTGGTTCTAACAATGGTTCTGAAACCAATTCTGCCAAGACAGGATCCGGACGTTCTATAGTTTTAAACGATATGGCTAATTACATATAAAGAGGTATTTTATAGACTATTGCCGAGCGAAAAGGGCGAGTGAATGAGTGAGTGTGTTTAGTTATACGCCGCACTCAGCAATATTCCAGCTATATGGTGGCGGTCTGTAAATAATCGAGTCTGGACCAGACAATCCAGTGATCAACAGCATGAGCATCGATCTGCGATTGAGATCGATGACATGTGGTAACCAAGTCAGCGAGCCTGACCAGCCGATCCCGTCAGTCGCCTCTTACGACAAGCATGGGTTACTGAAGATCAATATTCTAACCCGGACCTTCACGGGTAGCGAAAAGACTATAGAGAGAAACTTGAACTTGCACAGATCAAAACGTTACAAGGCTGGAAACAGACGAGACAACACTACACCCGTATGGGCTACACCACCTTCCACTAACCGTTTCAAGTTAGAACTGGTCTCCAGCAAACCATGCGGGACCCTTGAACAGGCTCGCTGACTTGGTTGACACATGTCAACACATGTCATCTCGTTAGGATGAGAAAGCCACAATAACTCGGTGCGCCTAGTGGCTGCAAGAGTTGTATACTCCCCAGGGAGTTGAGATTGATAATGCGATGTGCCGTTGAGATTGACATCCAATGATCGAGGGGGAAAATACCAGCGCCTTGAGCATGCACTAGTGCGTGGATATGTGCGCTATATAAATATCCTATAATAAATAATAAATAAATAAATAAAATGTCATCGTATCCCAGCTGCCTAGTTTGATGCTAATGATGTGTGAGTGTGTGGGGGTGGGGGTTTGGCTACAATTCTGCTACAGTCGCTGCATTGAGTGCAGCTTGGAATCCAAGTGTAATCCTCGGCATTATCCTTCCGTAAGTATTACATGATATAGTTATCATATCAGTGCTCTGAGTGTGAAAGTGAGTGAGTGAGTGAGTGAGTATGATTTTACGCCGCTTTAAGCAATATTCCAGCAATATCACGGCGGGGGACACCAGAATTAGGCTTCACACATTGTGCCCATGTGGGGATTCGAACCCGGGTCTTCGGCGTGACGAGCGGACGTTTTAACCACTAGGCTACCCCACCGCCCCTGAGTGTGAAAGCAAAAGGTCGTTTCGTTTCTAAGAGTTCATAAAACTTTTGTCTTGTCAGATTGTTTTCTCCGCGTACAATTGTGTAGAAAGTACAAACACAAAACAGCCCACATAGAGGCAGACCCAGCCTATTTTGTTCAGACATCAACAGGAGAGGTCTAATATTTGTATCAATTAAACATGTCATAATTGCAAGGTAGTTTCAAAGAAATTATCAGTGTTAGTCGGCGAATGTCATAACGGGGCTCTATGAAGAACTGTCTGTGTAGTCATATATTGATATGGCAACGCGAGAATCAGACACAGATCGATATCCGATATCAGCTTTCCAGATCGATACAGATAAAGCATTTGAGTACACAACGCATTTCGTCACTCGTCAGAATGGTCACGATGACCTGCCGCTAGGGGGTTGTCTCCCTTAGACGTCCCGAAACTTAGGATATTGGGTTCGAATCCCAGGTAACCCAGATTAACTTTTTAGGTTCGCCAAATACATATCGGTGTCTGTGGGTACATCCGAATGCACACCAGAGAGCTGAACCAATCAGGTGTTTTATTGCATGTCATGGCGTCACGTGTTATAGCTTAAATACTATTGAAAGCAGTTAAATCACACCATCTCGGAGAGTCGTTAGATATTCTAAGGTTACGGGTGTGGGCGTACAGCTGAAGGCTGGACACTAGACTAATGCTTAGTCTCTGAATATATATAATTTTGATAGTAACAAATAAATCCATATAAATTGAAAGGAGCCACAGGGACACCAGAGATTGAACCTAGGGAAATCTAGACTTGCTTCATTTAGGGCTTCAGCATTGCAGGGGGGGGGGGGGGGGGGGGATAGGCAGTAGGGAAAATAATGTGGTTCAGGGACTGTGAGACAGACTAGCAAGACACGTGAAGAACCGGATTACAAATGGTTTTCAGGACCCCATTCTTGCCTTAAGAGGCAACTCGCGGAATCGGGTAGTCAGGCCCGTTGATGTTATTGTATCCCTTAATGCGTGGATTGACGCTCATTATGTCAATCGCTCGGTTACTGACCGACTTCTGCTATACGGCATTAAACAACATAAATATAAAGTTAAAGTGACTTAGTAATGTGTCGTAGTGTTTCCTGATATATCATGACTGGGGACACACACAAAAAAGTACACATCTTATACTTGGGATCATTTTCACTAAAACAACGAATTTTTTGCAGCAACGTTTTGCGAGTCAACAGTTACAAACACTGTGTACATGTTGCCACAACACCACAGATAATGTCAAACAACATATGTGTACTTTTTTTGAACGTCAGTTTATATTAATTTATATTAATGTGTGTCACACATTGTTGCCAAGTGGAGACGACATCATATGTCGATGATCTATAAATAAGGAAATATATCATCGCAGTTTTTAAAGATGAATCGTAATTTATAACTACCAGATATAGCTATATATAAATACATGCTCATGAATATCGACATGGGTTCTCAGATTGAAAACGAAGAAAATGCCGAATCTTGCCGAGCCTAGTGGTTCTTGGCCAACGGGAATGCCTCTCCAAAGATTGTAACAAGGTACTTCTAACGGACATAAAGATCAATAAATATTTGATCGAGTGCTTAACGTGAAATATATCACATGAACAAGCCTATTAAACCCGTTTGATAACCAAATGACGAAATACAATCTGCATTATATAAATATTGCGATATTACATGCGGGCCATTCTGGCGGAAGGAGCAACACTATGTCATGTGATCCAAACAACGTGCCACATCTCGCAAGATCGTGACAACTCGTGACTTTCCGCGACAAATTGAAACTGATCAATGCGTTCGTGTTCAACTCGTATCATTCCGGGAATAGTGACGAATGGATTACGTAAATACACGAATGATGACGAACATATTTGATCCAAGGAAACCGAAAATCCGAAATCTGATCGGATAACAACCAATACGCTAGTGTCGGTGTTATTATTCGGGACCGGTTCGAGAAACAATGACACATGACGTGTCATTCTTCCCACAACCGTCATCGATCAACAGCATGGCAGTTCCTCTGAAGGTAGAAGCAGCGTGGTTTTACATGTGAACTATTAATGTCCCCGATTTCTTTATTGTGAATGCTATCGACAACGTTCATTATTTCATGGTCTAACACCAGAGATTATTTTGCAACAAAACTTGATGGATTGCAATAAAAATATTAGAGGTTACTGAGTACTGATTATAGTCTGTTTGCAGTGAAAACGTACCGATGAATTTCACTTTAAACAAAAACGTAAATCATATAAAGTGAAATCAAGATTGCGAATCCTCGTAAATCTCAGAATTTTATTCAACTTAGGATAAAAGTTGTTTAACAAACGATCATAGTTTCAAATCGCTTATATTGGTTTGTATTACAAGGGGGAAAGCACATTAAATGAAACACCGAAAACAAGTGGGGTTGGTTTAAGTTAACCTCATCACGTACGGCACGTGCATTTGTTTCACTGTTCCAACTACTGCGCTTACCCCCTAGTAATACAAACCAATATAAGCGATTTGAAACTATGATCGTTTGTTAAACAACTTTTATCCTTAGCACACACTAATCCCTGGGATAAAAGGATTTGTCGCTGTATTAGCACCAGAATGTTTCAGTTTGCCAGCATTAACATCTTTTCAAACCTTCACAACTCTCCCAGAAAGTTTTGTATTTAAAATTCCACATTTACTACTTGATAATACAATGTTGGATAGCATACGTAAAAAGGATAAAGATTTCAAGCTGGTTTACGCCTTTTTCCCCACGATAAAGACACAAGTTATTTCGGATAAATCAATTGTTCGCAGTTGGATAGATTCCCGTCCACCCTACGCTTTGGGTGGGGACTTCACCAACCCTGTTTGTCGTGAGATAATGGTCTCCAAATTCTACCTTTCCACCCGAGACCTCACAGTGACAGCTTGAATCCTTTAACCTATTTTCGTTTTCTTCACTTATGATTTATTGTTTGGTTTCCCCAGTTTAAAACACAGTGAATGTATTTCTTGGACAATATGACAGTTGATTAAAAGCGTTTTCTTCCTACTACATCAGCTGTTCCTCCAACATTGTGGAGCAGTTTTCCCGTTACCTCTGACATGGCCCATATCGCAGGCAGCATCCTGCTTATCATGTCAAAGCTACCTTATCCTCTCAGTCCTTGCCATCTGGCACGAGTGGAGAATTACGACATTTCCTCGATCCTTGACGTTATTTCTACACGTCATATTCCATACTCTGATTCAACGACCAGTCATTTTTCATATTACACCGGTATACACTTGTAAGTAGAGCTGTGACGATATATCGTAGTATCGATAATCGTGATACTTTATCTGACGATAAATATATCGATAAGTTTTTTCGTATCATGATATGTATCGTTGACCTTAAAATTGTTAATTTTCATTAGATATTGACGGTTATGTCAAAAGTTCTTGCTATTAGCATATATGTTTTTAAAGAAAATAACTAAAGAAAGCATATCGTGATATGCATCGAATCGAATCGTATCGTTTCAAGATATCGCGATACGTATCGTATCGTGAAATTTCTGTATCGTCACACCTCTACTTGTAAGTAGGGTACACTGATCATTTGAGACCACATACTGGTTTAGAATTTACTAGTTGATAGTGTCCGATAAATACTCCATGTCATAACGTTTTGGTCATAATTTTGTTCTGTATCGTAAAATTAATTACCACCGTGTTTGTTCTCATTCATAACTACAGATAATATTCAGTCATATATTAGTACTCATTCTCACGACAATATTGTATTACCTTTCAATGGAGTACTTATATCCGGAAATGGCGTCTCATACATTATGGATAGTTGGTAGTTACTTATATTACATTATTCTACTGTTGCTTCACGCCAATACTACTTGATAGAATAGATTCTCATCCGTGTTTTAATGTATGCTCCCAGTACATCACATATTTATATATGTTGTTCGTTTCTGTGTTCTTAACAGCCAAGCATTAACTGAATGTAGAAGATTAGAAGTTTATACACTATTACACAACTGCAGATGTCGTCAACGTCGTTATTGATGTCAGTTTACATATCTAACGATCTGTGAAGATCCGGGTTAGAATTGTTCTTCAGCAACCCATGCTTGTCGAAAGAGGCGACTAACGGGATCGGGTGGTCAGGATCGCTTACTTGGTTGACACATGTCATCGTATCCCAAGTGCATAGATCGGTGCTCGTGATGTTGATCACAGGATTGTCTGGTCCAGACTCGATTATTTACAGCCCGCTGCAATATAGCTGGAATAGTGCTGAGTGCGCCGTTAAACAACAACCAAACTAAACTAAACATCTAACAGTAAAGAGTCATTCCTTATATTTGACTCACGTTGTCACTCATCAGTCAAGGCTGTTGCCATTGTCAACTGTGTATTGTTCATAGGCAAAAGTTTACTTGAGCGCGTCATATCACAAATTGTTTTCATATTGTGTCAAATTCATACTACTAGTATACCTCTATGTTGGTCGTGATTTAAATAGTCTTTTGAAGAATTGTAGATTAATGGCCAGACCCCTTTCGGATAGGAGAACAGTGAAACGCCTCCCTGGCTGTCGTCTGCTCCAAGCCACATCGATCATCTAGTTAGACACTCGCTGTTATTGAGCGAATTCCCAATTAACTTAAACAATGCGCGAGCGAATGGTTGTTTAAATTCCTTCGATGTACGAAGAGTGCGAATTCGACAACAAAACTACTAGTACATTTAGATGTTATTGAATATAAATAGGTATATATTAAGGGTTTCGGACAATCCTCAAAAATCCCCAATAACCCTCAAACATCCTCAAACATCCTTAATGAGGGCTTTGAACAACCCTCAATATCCTCAACTCCAGCTCCCAACAAAACGTAGCTCTGGAAAGTCGCTACAAACGATAAACGCGTTCTTCATCCATACAAGTGTGCATGTAAAGGGTGTTACCTGTTTTGAAAAAAGAACCAGGAGACCCCCAACGAAATCTTCACTGATTATTCTTTTCAAGTCGGTTTCCAAAGTTCATATGTACCCGATATAGATAATCAAAGCACTCCCGTGGGATCAAATTTTAAAACACACACACCCTTTCCCACCCATTATCACAAGTATGATTACCTAGTTCAGCCTCTCAGCAGTCCCATGTACTACAGAGATTATGAGAACGCATTCATTCATAATCTATCCACTGTGTAATCTAGCACAGAAACACTGTTCTAAGTTCGTGAAAAAAATCTGGGTCGACCAAGCTGGACAAAGAAACATTGGTAATCATATCTGGGGACTGGATTCGATTTCAGTTACATGTATTTAGTTGTATTTCGCAGGCGAGGTATATCGACAAGGGGTATTTGGATCAATCTTAAAGATTACTTTTGTTACACGTTACTTTTCTTTTTGAATAAACCTGACTGGGTAGGCACAGGTGTTTTAATTTTCTTTTATTTCTTCAATTGATTTCAAATTATCTAAAATATAATTGAGTGGGAAGCATTGAATTTTCATGATATTTCTATTACTTTATCGGATGTACGACAGGGCTGTGTCTTATCGCCTGTTCTATTTACCATTTACACTGAAGAACTTGCACATAAACTAGCACGAAGTGATACTAGAAGTTGTGGATGTATCTTTAGATGTTCTAACCAGTTCTCTTGTTTACTGACGATGTAGTTATTTTAGCGGTTGTATAACTGCAAGGAAATATAGATATCCTGGAAGAATATGTGATACGACAAAGTATGTGTATTGCAATGTTATACGATGTGATACATTTGATGTGATATGACATATTGTGATGTGACTATATTATTCTTTTCTATGATATTGTCTACTATGTTCTTGTATACTATGGGCCTGTGGCCTTCAGTATGAATAAAGATTGATTGAATATTGTAAGAAATGGGTCTTTTAATTACGTTAGATAAAACAAGTGTAATGGTATTCAAGAATGGAGGTAAAATAGCAAAATATGAAATGTGGGTTACAAACAGAAGGCAGCTGAAGGTTTCTTCGGATTGCAAATATCTTGGGATTGTATTTCTCTGCAGAATTGTATTCAGTAAAGCCTGAGAAACTCTAGCAGACCAAGCTAATAAAACATTATTTCCAGAGAAATCATGTTCAAATTGATACAAACATTTTCCTTTGAAATACGCTTTCAAGAGTTTGGACGGTAAAATGCAACCAATTCTATTATAGAACTCTGAATTACGTGTATGTGGTCTAACATATCGACAGTCAATTGAAAAATGGGTCTAGGCTAACTGCCCCCGGACAACTGCCCCCGACAACTGCCCCTGGCTATCTGCCCCCGTCCATTGTGCCCCCGGACAACTGCCCCCATCATATCAAAAACAGACAAAACTAATAGCAATAGTTTTAAATGTTTAATTTATAACACTATGTAATACAACACAACATATCAATCTTCAGATTCACTTGGAGCTTATTTTTCAGATAAATGTTCTGAGACATGTGGTAGAAGCATTTATCTGTGCATTAGGGGTATGTTGGTCAGTAAGGTCATAAGAATGTTTTTATAATGATTTCCTGTAGTTTTCAAGATGGGACTCAAGATGAAGTGAAAGTTTTCACAGCAATTAATGATTTCTTGTGTCCATCAGCCCATCGAACAAAGGCCACATAATTGTATAACATTCTCCAAGATTAACTTTCTCCAAGATAAAATGAGTTTATTACTAAAGGCATTGTTTGTTGATATAATGTAATTAAGTTGTTATCTTACTTAAGTTGTTATCGTAACCACAACTCAACACATTGTTTTAATAATTGAGTTTAATAAATCCTATCAAGATGGGGGAAGGGGGTCACTTTTAGTTTTGATGGGGGGGCACTTGCTCTAGGGGGCAATTAGCCTAGTTGTCCGGGGGGCACAATGGACGGGGAGCAGATAGCCAGGGTGCAGTTGTCCGGGGGGCAGTTAGCCTGATACCGAAAAAATTGCACGTAATGTAAATCAAAATAAAATTGATTCTGGTGTCCTGGTGACCTCTGTCGACCACTGCAAAATCAAAAACATAAAATCATCAGTTGTAAAATCGAAATATGAATTGACAAAGTACCGTCTAAAATATGAAAAAAAGACAAATTACATTTCAGATAAAAAATATTTGATGGAAATTCGTCAATCAATTGTTGACATAATGCGGTTGTCCGAATTACGGAAGTGTCATTGTTGATAATTAAATGCATCCCGCCTAGGTACACGAATTATTGAATATGCTTAAATGGCCGGACCCTAATGTAGTGGAATTGTTTGTTGAAATCATTGCAGGGTTTATTAAAGGATTTCACTGTATTCATTTCGAATCATCCCTTATGATTGGTTTAATGCGAACAGTCTACCTTTATCGGTACTATATTATTATTATCGACATTCTATAATCAGAATTTCATCAATGTCTCTTTCTACAAAAAGGTGAAAAGGATCAGATGCCTTTGTGACAGCACATGTAACATATGCATTAGTAACACCCATCTAACTACTCTCCGCCACCAGCTCCCTTATTAACAGCGGGTGATGCGTCATAGTGACCACCAACATCATTTTGACTTCAGCGCTACGTTTTACTTCCCAACAGGAGCAGGTATTTGTTTGCTTGCTTGCTTGCTTGCTTGCTCGCTTGTTTAACGGATCATAAATAATGGAATCTGGACCTGTCAGTATAATGTGTCTGAGTGGGGTATTCATGCTTAACTGCGGCATGGTATCTCAGTGGGCTAGCACTATAAAACCAGCTTAAGTCTGGGCTAGTACAAGCAGCCGCACATACACATACACACGCATGCACGTCGTCATATGAGCGAAATATTCTCAAGCACGACGTTAAACCCAATTTCACCTCACCTCACCTATTTCTCAGTTAGTTTGTAAGTGACATATAAATCAATACGCATTATACAACCATCCAACAAAATAGTCTAACCGAGTGGCCACGCGAAATATTTAAAGGTATGTCAGTTTAAAGGACAACTGTTATTTAATACAATGAATCAAGTTCATCACCAATGACCCACATATCGTCTGTCGGTATGTATTAATCATGAAGGCGTGTATAGAGATCACATATACGATCATACCTTAAGAAAATGTCACTGGGCCTAAACGTGGGAAACTGACTGTGGATGATGGTCAAAGAGCACGATATCTGAGGCCAGATAATGAATAGATAATAGAGGTACTGCTTTAAATGTGTCAATGTGGTGTTGTCGTGAATGACGAGTTAAAGAATTATAGAAACTGACAAGTATAATAACCTTTGGAATCCAGGACAAAATCCACCCGGACAAAATCCACCCCAAAATTGCAACCTAGGACAAAATCCACCCGGACTCTTTAGAAGATAAATGGCAAAAGGTTTGGGGGGTTTTAAAGTTCAATACAGAAAGTGATACACGTCCATGGCACGTTCCTTTATTCATGTTCTTTTAGAAAATGCGAAACAGGAATGAAACACACTTATCGGGGTGCCGAAGCTATACGTGCAATCAGGGTATATAACTGATACGGAAGGCATGTGAAACACCCGCACTTATGAAACATAAACACCGCTGAAACGCCACGCCTGACACCGGAACAACGCGAACAGGCCCAAGGTGTAATACAGATGGGAGCACCCCTGCCCACATATAACTCGAATGCTTGGTTGTTCCCGTGTTGCAGTAACTCACCTGATGCAATGTCACAGAAAGACCGCACAGAAACCAGACAAGAACAGACTAACCCAGGTTAACTACGCCCAGTGAAGACTGGCCCAGACTGTACGTCGCTGGCAGTGACTTGACAGACAGAAGGTCGCCTTCTCTGATGAAACGGTTCTGGCTGTTCAGGGCTGATAGAGGACGTGTTTACACCAGGAGGGGAGAACAAATGGCGGCATGTTGTATTCAGGAGGTCGTGCCGTGTGCTGGAGGGGTCCATGGCGTGGGGAGGTATTTGTTGGCAGGAGAGAACACCTCTGGTCATCGTCAGCGCTACATTGAGGACAGTATACGTCCAAATGGCCCTCCGTTTCTACCACAGTTATCTATCACGTGGGAGTCTTTATCAGCGAGGCAATGCCAGATCCCAACAGCCCGAATTGTACAGGACGTCCTTGCAGCCAACGACGTGTTGCACGTTCCCCAGACAAGTCCTCCACAGAAAACCTCTACGATGTCATGGATCGTTGTGGTCGAAAGCGACTACATGCTTCAGTCAACAGTTTCTTCTCTTCAACTGTTCTAAGTTGAACGTGTGAGAGTGTCCTAGACAATCAGCTACTCACCAAAATGGGCTTCACACGTTGCACACATGTGAGGAATCGAACCAGGCTTTTCGGTGTTACGAGTGAACGCTTCAACCACAAGGCTACCACTGCCCCTCATCAAAATTAAATCATACCTTACGCAAGGGAACTGTTTTGTGATGTGCCAGTGCTAGATAGGTACAATAAATATATACCCATGAGCATTGTCCGCCAAAATGTTCATATAAAAGCAGGCATCGTCGTTGCGAATCATTAACATCGTGCATCTCTGGTTCTGGCCATAATTCGCCATGCCAGGGGTATTGCTAAATTATTGCTTTAAAACACTCACTTCACAAAAAAGGAAGATATGATCATGTAAAAGATTAAATGTAGCAAAGAAATTTGTAAACGGGGAGCTAAAGAAAGCTATTGTTTTTCATGTTCTTTTTCTCAGTGAATCACTACATGTCTGCATAATTTATGCATTCCTGACGTCTCAGGTCAAATGCTAATCATAAAGCTTTCAGTGTTGTGAATTATTGAAGTAACATACCAACTTATGCTGAAGGTGATTTTAGTTAACGCTCTTAATTTGTTTCAAAGTTTTATGACAACACACTGACTGCCGTGAGTTCACCCCAGGCAGATACAGTTGGTGTCGCTTTCTATGTAGCAGAAGAGGAACCAGACATCAGCGTCCAGCAGGATCCCCACCCCCTTACCTGATGTCATGGGGGCTGTTATAACTGTGTGGCTACTGTCACTAGGTGTTTCGCAGACTGCAGGGGTAGCACTGTCCTCCAGCGTCCAATTGTGTACAGACACCTGTGTGAAAACCGGGATGTGTGCGGGGCCAACACTGCCCGACATGATTGCTTGTTACATCAACACTGAACACAGGAAGGACAAGGGATTCGAGAAACAAAACGCCCAGGTTAGTGTATATGTATGTGCTGTTAGTTGTGAAGGTTTCGTGATACGTTTTTGCTGTGCGTGGATTTCTTTTTACAAAATTATTAACATAACTATGAGTTATAATAATTACAGTTATTTGATGGCCCAGAACGTCTTGGTGTTTGTATTTGTTCAGGACAAGTTTCATTATCGCGGCACTCCGTGTCAGGGGACTGTGTTCTTAAGACTAAGATGTTCCTGAGACTGATGTACTCTTGAGATTAATGTGTTCTTGAGCCTAAGGTGTTCCTGATATTAATGTGTTCTTGAGACTAAGGTGTTCCTGAGACAAAGGTGTTTTTAACACTAAGGTGTTCCTTAGATTAATGTGTTCTTGGGACTTAGGTGTTCCTGGGAATTATGAGTTCTTGAGTGTCATGTGTTCTTGGGACTAAGTGAGTGAGTTAATATTTAACGTCACATCGGCAATGTTTCTACCATATCGTGACGAACTTGAGACTAAGGTGTTCCTGAGAATAATGTGTTCTTAAGACTAAGGTGTTCCTGAAACTAATGTGTTCTGAAGACTGAGATGTTCCTGAGACTAATGTGTTCCTGAGACTAACGGCCGAAAGCTACGAAAACACAATGCCAATTAGAAAGTTGTCAGATGTAACATATGTTAATTTCGGATTACACTTTCTCAGTAAAGTATTCTTTTGGGGTCCAGACCCATATGGTATTTGAACCCATCGTAGATCGTAGATTTGGCGTGCTGGCGAATAAACGCCACGGTGGCTGGGCGGCTTAGACGGCTGACTTTGTGTGCTAGCGATTGGATGCCTGACTCCGATGGTGTGGGTTCGAATACCGGATGTGACTCAACCATACTAAAGTACTAGAATCTGTACTTTACTGACAAAATGAAATCCCAAATATAACATTTACATTTGACACTCTCTAAATGGCAGTGTGTATTCATAGATTCCAACTTCATTAGCTGTTTATTTATTAAACAAATATTTTACACCAAGAACAACAAAGAAGAGAAATAGTCTTGTCAAAACCCATTTAGCATTTTACAAAACTGAAAAGACGGGCCCCAAGCGCGTATAAATCTGTTGAATACTCACAAAAAACATCAATACCCGATGTTAAAGATAAAATATGAAACAATACTCAGTGGCCGCAACATTAACTGGAGCTGTGAAAATGTGTATGTGAATTCCATAACTGGACATGAAACTGTTAGGCTGGTGAACAAATCACTCAGAAAGTGTTATACCTTTAAATTCAAGTGCTTTTGGAGTTTATGTTTGTATATTGGTTTTAATTTTATTAAATTCTTCAGTATTTGCAAAATATAAGTGGATTGCGTTATTTCTGCAGTGACATTTTGAGGATTAGTCAGTACCGTTGCCTGTATATCTAGTGTGTATATTGATCACGCTATGATGAGACGTTGTGTATAAGTAAAAAAAGGGATCTTTATGGGCTTTTCCCTCGCAGAATCATTGTATATGGAATATAATTTTCACTGGTTTGATTTGTGTTCGGCGCTCTTTCGCTGAGCGTAGCGACAGCAAGCGGGAAACTGAACAATGGAAAACGAATGACATAACTGGGGATCTACAAGGAAGACCTGCAGCAAAGCTTACGCGTTTGGTTCTCTTTGTTGTTGTTGCTGTTTGTTTTGTTTGTTGTTTGTTTTTTTTGTTGTTTTTGTTGTTTTCGGTTTGTGTTTGTTTTTTGTTGTTGTTTTTTTGTTGTTGTTTTGTTTGGGGTTTTCTGTTGTTGTTTTGGTGTGTTTTTTGTTTTGTTTTGTTGTTGTTTTCGGTTTGTGTTTGTTTTTTGTTGTTTTTGGTTTTTGTTGTTTTGTTTGGGGTTTTCTGTTGTTGTTTTGGTGTGTTTTTTGTTTTGTTTTGTTTTGTTGTTGGGTTTTTTCGTGGGGGGTCCTGTATAGAGGTTTCTTGAGGTCCATAATGTTACACCCTGTCATCCACCGACGTATTTGTGTGGAGGTAATAAAATCACCGGCTCGAGCCGTAGATGCATCCAGGGTATAGTGGAGATATACCCTGGAGATTATCCAGGATGACAGAGTACAGGATGATAATCATCCTAAATGTGACACATTCAACTTCTAGCAGCATTGTGTCCACACGGCAGTGATTAATTTCAAATATAGAAACTGATCCTACCGTTGTCGTCATTAAACTGTTTCCCTATTTATATCTCCATTGTTCCCAAACGTTTTAATAGTCTCAGCTACGTCGCTGTACGACAAAGGATCACCTTTGACTTTTGAAAATGGTGACAGATATCCCACGGTTTGTTCAGATCCCCAATGGTTTGTTGTTATTCGATCGGTGATAGACTGAAATTAGAGAAAACCTGACATTTTTAACTTGTATTGTTTCCGACCCGTGAAGATGGTGGTTAGAATTGGTCTTCAGCAACAAATGCTTGTCGTAAGAGGCGACTAACGGGATCAGGTGGTTAGGCTCGCTGTCATCGTATCCCAATTGTGTAGATCGGTGGTCATGCTGTTGATCACTGGGTTGTCTGGTCCAGATTCGATTATTTACGGCTGCCATATAGCTGGAATATTGCTGAGTGCGGCGTTGAACAACAATCAATCAACCCGTATTAGAACCTAACTTCTTTTATTTTATTTTTTTTATTTTTTATTTGTTCCCATGGTTACAAAGTCAAAAACAAGGGTATATGGTAGCAACAAACTCAGAAAAGATGAAGATACATTGCTGCAGAGATGTAATAATAATTAGTTGCTGAATATTGGGATCAGCGAATTCCATTTAAATTTGAATTTTTCGATCTCATTGTTTCTCTTTGAAATAAATATTTCTACAGACAATATCTCTTTTAATACCTTTTTATAATTACTGAATTTTGGAACTGATTTTTTATATAACATAAATCGATATGTTTTTTGGCAGAGATAATGATTTGATTTAGTAATACATAACCTAACTTATGCAGACCTTTATCTTCGGCTTGTAATGCAATAAATATATAGATATATATTTGATTTATTAACGGGCACTCCTGTCTATATGTCAGATTCATACAGTGATATTTCCGATAAAGACATGTACGTAAGACTATATAACACATTCCTGTATTATTGAATGTAAATATTCATTTCATAAAGTGTCCTGATTCATTGTTTTTTTATGGGGTTTTTTTGTTTTTGTTTTTTTGGTTTTTGAGTGGAGAATCTTTCCATCTGTTTCAAATGTCCCTTGGCGTTCGTCATACAGGAAGTGCGAAGAGGAAGAAGTCTTAATCTGGAAGATATCTTAGGACAAAGCATGTGCTACAACCTAACGGTTAAAACGTCCAGTTTACACCCATACCGAAGTAGGTTGGAATGTGTGGTGGTATATTTTGGCTGGGATAGCAAGTCTAATCATAGTACAATCAAAATGGTGTGACGACATCCTGTTTGTGAACAACCTGGAGACGATAGTGCACATTTCTGTCGATTGGGCCGCGGTTTCGTACCCGTGTTGGTCATTTACAAGACATGTGCAACGAGTGCAACTGGGTGGCAACGTATTGTTTTCCAAATCCTTTCAGGTTTCTAATCAAGAAGTGATACTATCCATTTCGCGAGATAAGACATGTTGTATCACAATAAAAATCTTGATTATCGATACGATCATCACTGGGTCCATGTTTGTTTGAGGCGATGTGAGAGGTGGAATCTGATTGGTCAAAAGGGGCGACATAGAAGGGACATAACTCGTAACAGTCACACGACTTTCCGGTGAGTTAACTCCCATGCCTCGGGAGGAGGGACTAATAGGTTGTTTTCTGCACACAGGAGCATGATGTCCCAGCTGAGGTAACAGAGATCGGCTGTGTGACGGAAGGGAGCACTCGAGGATCCCCCCGCTGTCTGTTTGGTATGTGGAACTGTATTTTGTTTTGGAATGGCATCTCCCATGACGTAGACTGATGGGTAAACGTTTATCTGTATATATATATATCTACATGTGGTGTCCGATGGAGTTTCGTTTGATTGTTATTTACTAGCACTATTCCGGCTATATGACCGCATTCTGTACATAATCGAGTGATTGATATCATGAAGATGAATCAACGCAAATGGGATTTGATGACATGCACCAACCAAGTCAGCAATCCTGACAACCCTTTGTCGCATCTTACAACTATATCATGAGGGTCTGTTAATAATTGTGTCTAGACCAGATTGGGGCGGTGGGGTAACCTAATGGTTAATGCGTTGACTCGTCACGCCGAAGTCCCGGGTTCGAATCCCCACATGGGCACAATGTGTGAAGCCCGTTTCTGGTGTCCCCGGCCGTGATGTTGCTGGAATATTGCTAAAAGCGGCGTAAAACCAAACTCAGTCAGTCAGTCAGTCTGGACCAGACAATCCAGTGATTAATAGCATGATCATCGATGAATGATGACCGCATTCTGTATATAATAGAGTCTGGACCAGACAATCCAGTGACTGACATCATGAGCATCAATCAACGCAATTGAGATACATGCATCAACCAAGTCAGCGAACCTTGTTTGTCGCCTCTTACGACAAGCACAGGTTGACCGTATTCACGGATAGTTTGTGCTTGAAGGTAGAATATTTGTACCATATGGTCTTGTCATGTTTTATTTCATGCGAGCGTCCATCAGGTCATTCCGGTATGAGCATCAGGAAGTTGTTATGAAAGGTTGCATGTCTTTCATTCCTATCAAAGACAAAACATGTTTGATCTGTCCAGGAGTATATTTCAATGGTCAGATGTATATATCTTTACAGACCGATGTACACTCTTCGTGGGACCAAGGCTGGCTTCTGAGTGTCGACCTCCACCATGGGAGCTGCGAGATGCCGCCGATACGGTTTATAACTGTACAAGGGGAGATAATCACGGAAAACCAACATGTATCCGAGGGAAGGCTCGAGGAACTCACGGAGGTGTAGGCGATGGTACGCATTAAGGATTAGCATTGACACGGGTTCTTTAACGTGTTACCGATCACTAACGTGTGATTTTCTTCGGCAGAAAACCCGACACTTTGTTCAGTTTTTAATAATATCTATATATTCGGACTGTTTGTGGAAGAGTTATCTTCCCTTGTCTAAACTGTAATGTATTGTGTAAATGCAGGAAGTGGCATGACCAAAATGAAAACAGGTTGCCTTATAGCAAACGACTCAGAAAACATCCAGGTGATCTGGTTATTGTGGAACTATGTGAGGTAAATTCTAATGATTAACGTTTTATGGCGTTTTATAAGGTTATGAGGAGTACACAGTCGGGAAGGAGACGATCTACGTCAAGGAGTATACTACAGAAAAGACGTGGGAGCAAGCTGCCCAACAGTGTCGCTCAGACGGGGCGAGGCTTATTAAACTGGACAGAAAAGAGAAAAATGAAGCCGTTAAACAATATGAATGTAAGTCTCCATGCAGCGAATGCACCATTTGTTGGTTTTATCATAGAGTTCATCCAGGAATATTCAAATGAGATGTTTTAAATCTTGTCCTTTAGGGTCCATTGGCCCAACGTCTTAAAGGCACCATTGTACCAATGGACTTTTAACATACTAGACTTAGGGAAGCTTACCGTTAATGTCGCTTTGTGAAGTGAGGATTGGATGTTTGGTTGTCTACTAATGAATCAGTAGATAATAGAACATAGAGTGTAACGTGTTATATTTGGGATTCTAGAACGTTTTGGTTCAAGTTAATTCCATTCAATTTACACTTGTCAGAATTGTACACAAACTTACACTATTCAAAAAAGAAGAAACAGACAAGCGTTTTCAGCAGTTCTTTTCGATATATTTTGACAGCAATCGTCTTTAAGACAATTCCTATGTTTGAATCCCGTTAATCATGTCATGGTTGTTGTGTATTGCGCGCAAACGCATCCCAAAATGTGTTTGTAAACATTTGTCATAAAAAAATGAAAACGATACATGAAAAGCGCAAGCAGAAAATAATTTCCCCGTAATGCACGTGTAATGTGTCGGAAAAATGAGTAGAGACATCGACTATAAAAGGCCAAACGAAATTCATCATTACATTCCGAAATTTACGACATAAACGGAGATAAAAAAATGATTGAACGCTGATCGAAATATCGCCATTGGACGTTTGGAAGCAGGGGAGTCCCAGTCTGCAGTTGCAAGACACCACAGCACCTTGGCCATATCTCGATTATGGAATCGATATACCCGCTTCAATTCGACCCAAGATCGTCCCAGAAGTGGAATACCAACAGTGACCACTCCTGCACAGGACCGATTCATCCGGGTATTTCACCAACGTCACCGATTTGCTACAGCAACGGACACTGCAGGACAGGTGCCTGGTCTTCGAAGAAGTTCCGACCAAACCATTAGAAATCGTCTGAGAGAAGTGAGAATTCGAGCATATCGACCAAAAGTTGGACCTGTCCTGACATGACTACACCGACAACGACGTGTCGAATGATGCTACAGGGCACAGCTATGGAACCTTGAATACTGGCGACGCGTTTGGTTCAGCGATTCATCGCGTTTACTCCTCCAACGACGGGATGGGAGACAACGTTTCTATCGACGTCGACACGAACGTTTTGAGCCGAACTGCGTTCGACAGGTGGGCACTTTTGGTACAGAAGGCGTCATGGTGTGGGGAGCCATGTCCTACCCGGGTACATCAAAGCTGGTGGTGGTTCAAGGTAATCTTACAGCAAATCGCTACATAGACCAAATCCTGCTACCTCACCCCCTCTCACATTTTAACCGCCAGAGGGAGCTGTTTCAACACGACAACACTCGACCCCTACACAGCTCGTGTAACAAGTGCCTGTCTCGTCAATGAAAATGTCCTTCCCAAGCCTTCCAAATCGCCTTATCTGACCCGCTCGAGCACCCATGTCTGGCAAACAGTCCAGTGATCAACAGCCTGAGCAGCATCGATCGACGCAACTGTGATACGGTGACATGTGTCAACCAAGTCAGCGAGCCTGACTACTCGATCCCGTTAGTCGCCTTTTACGATAAGCATTGGTTACTGAAGACCAATTCTAGCCCGTATCTAAGACCAAACAACTGGTTAATGCTCATTCACTGGTTTCTCTCATTGATACTCACTCACTCACTCACTCATCTCACTCGTCTATTGCAGTTCTGCACTGAATGATTCACTCACTCATACAGTCTCCCTAGCTCACTCACCTAGTGACTCACCTTCTCACTCACTTGCCGGTTGTAGTTCTGCAGTGGATGACGCTCACTCACTCACTCATTCACTCACTCACTCACTCACCCACCCACCCACCCGCTCACTCATTCACTCACTCATCTATTTCAGTTCAACACTGGATCGGGCTGAAGGATATGTATGACAACGACACCTTCTTCTGGACTGATGGGTCCCCTCTCAGATACAACGCTTGGTTCTTTAAGGAACCATCTCACTTTTCTAAAATGAACATAAAGGAAAACTGTGCGGAGATATCTCGACGGTTTATGATGATGATGGCGTGGAATGACAGCGACTGCAACCGTACCTACCCCTTCCTGTGTGAAAAACTGTTTTGACCACAAAGAAATTTCATATTTTGATATTTTGCTTGGTTGTGGGTTTTAACAGAACGTGGTACAACAACATCGTCAAATCGTGTGAAATCGTGTGTTACATTTCCACTTTAAATGTTTCTTGCATGTATTTATTTTCAAAGTGGGCTCCTATTAAGGGCACCAGTTTACATTTGATCAAAGAGGTACAATTTTAAACTCTGGCACGATTTTAACGAAACAGCGGGGCAGGAGAACATAAACTCACTAGTAAAAACATTAGTGGGGTGCCAAAAGTGCAGTTAACCATTTTGGTTGTGATAGCATTTTATTGTGTCGTCATGGTATCTGACTGATGCTTTATGTACCATCTTGCTGGTATGTACCATCTGGCTGGTACATAAAGCAAGCCAACTAAAATATGTCATCTTTTCAGTAATGCCATCACATTTGAAATAAGGTTGGTACTCTGTTGGTGCAACATTAGCCAAACACATATACACCGACAGGACATGGGAATCTTAAAACAACTTTTCATATAAAATAGAGCCATTCATCCCTATAACGTCCTTTCCCATGTACGAAGTCGTTTCTTATAATTTGTGATACTACGAAAACGTACCTGGTCACAATATGGATCTTTGTATTGGAATAGTTTCGTTCACTCTGAACAAACCTTTAAGGAAATATAGTGTTTTCAAAACTGTATACAGTGGTGTCCCCCCGTCTTGATATTGCTGGAATATTGCTAAAAGCAGCGTAAAACTAAACTCACTCACTCACTCAATCACTCAAAACTGTATACACAAATTCTGACCTAATATTAAGCATAGCGGAGTTATGCCCCCCTTACCACGGAGGTTGCCTGGGAATTTCCTGAATGCATGATCATGCCGTTGATCACTGGATTGTCTGGTCCAGACTCGATTATTTACAGACCGCCGCCATAGAGCTGGAATATTGCTGAGTGCGGCGTCAAACTAAACTCATTCACTCACTGAATGCATGAATAAATGCAGTGGTGGTGTGAAACATATTCACACAGTAGTGAGAATGCAAATATTCCATTCAGAAGTAGTTGAGTGAAGTATTTTATTTGTTTACACGTGAACATCACAAGTTATTCCAACATAGCCGGGAAGACAAGCACAGGTGTAACCAAAGAAGGTGGCCTCAGGGAAGCAGACCCCGTTCTGGCACGGCTTGTATCTGCAGGCGTTGCTGTCTTTGGCTGCAGTAAACACACAGTAGATATATGACAGGATAAGCACATAAGTGGATAAACACATAGGAATGCTATGACATGATAAACACATAGGAATGCAATGACCTGATAAACAAAGGAAAGCTATGACATGATAAACACATAGGAATGCTATGACATGATAAACATAGGAAAGCTATGACATGATAAACATTTAGGAATGCTATGACGTGGATAAGCACATAGGAAATGTTATGACATGATAAACACATAGGAATGCTATGACATGATGAACACATAGGGATGTTATGACGGGGATAAAAACATAGGAATGTTATGACGTGGATAAAGACATAGGAATGCTATGACGTGGATAAACACATAGGGATGTTATGACGTGGATAAGAAACATAGGAATGCTATGACAAGATAAACACATAGGAAGGCTATGACATGATGAACACATAGGGATGTTATGACGTGGATAAACACATAGGAATGTCATGACGTGGATAAAGACATAGGAATTCTATGACGTGGATAAACACATAGGAATGCTATGACGTGGATAAACACATAGGAGTGTTATGACGTGGATAAAGACATAGGAGTGTTATGACGTGGATAAACACATATGAATGCTATGACGTGGATAAAGACATAGGAGTGTTATGACGTGGATAAACACATAGGAATGCTATGACGTGGATAAACACATAGGAATCCTATGACATGATAAACATAGCAATGCTATGACATGATAAACATAGGAATGCTATGACATGATAAACACATAGGAATGCTATGACATGATAAACACATAGGAGTGCTATGACATTATAAACATAGGAATGCTATGACATGATAAACACATAGGAATGCTATGACATGATAAACACATAGGAATGCTATGACATGATAAACATAGGAATGTTATGACATGATAAACACATAGGAATGTTATGAAGTGGATAAGGCACATAGGCAAGCTATGACGTTGATAAACACATAGGACTGCTATGACGTGGATAAACACATAGGAATGCTATGACGTTGATAAACACATAGGACTGTTATGACGTGGATAAAGACATAGGAATTTATGACACAGATAAACACATAGGAATGCTATGACATGGGGAAATATGAGAATGCTGACATAAGATGGGATCAGGGCTTTAATGTGTATACACTGACTGGGGGCTTTAATGTGTATACACTGACGGGGTGTTTTAATGTGTATACACTGACTGGGGGCTTTAATGTGTATACACTGACTGGGGGCTTTAATGTGTAAACACTGACGGGGGGCTTTAATGTGTATACACTGACTGGGAACTTTAATGTGTATAGACAGACGGGGGGTTAATGTGTAAACACTGACTGGGTATTTTTATGTGTATACACTGACTGGGGGGCTTTAATGTGTATACACTGACGGGGGCTTTAACGTGTATACACTGACGGGGGTTTATGTGTATAGATTGACGGGGGGCTTAATGTGAATACAATGACGGGGGGCTTTAATGTGTATACACTGACCGGGGGGGTTAATGTGTATGCACTGACTGGGGGCTTTAATGTGTATACACTGACGGGGGGCTTTAATGTGTATACACTGACGGGGGGCTAAAACCACGGGTTGTACAGGAACTCACCCACACAGACGGGCTGAGGTGGACAGGGGTCTGTCTTGCAGTACACAACCTGATGAATACACATCTCCCCGTTGGCACAGGACAGAGCCTAGAGGAATTACAGTGAGTGAGTATGGTTTTACGCCGCTTTTAGCAATATTCCACAAATATCGGGGGAACACAAGAAAAAGGCTTCCTCACATTGTACCCATGTGAGGAATCGGACCCGGGTCTTCAACGTGACGAGCGAACACTTTAACCACGAGGCTACCCAACCGCCCCCAAGAGGAATAACAGCATCAGTGAGCATCAAACACGACATCGTCATGAAGCAGCAGAGACGTTGGCGTTACGACTGTCGGCATTTGTTACCTGTGTGTTGTTTAACGCTGAACTCAACAATGTTGCAGCTATATGATAGCGGTCTGTAAATAATCGATTCTGTACCTGACAATCCAGTGATTAACATCAAAAGCATTGGTTGGTTGTTTAATGCAATATTCCAGCTATATGGCGACAATCTGTAAATAATCGAGTCCGGACCAGACAATCTAGTGATCAACAGCATGACCATCGACCTACGCATTTTGGATCAAGAGCATGGTCAAAATGGGATACGATGACATGCAAGTCAGACCACCTGATCCCGTTAGTAGCCTCTTACTACAAGACCTATCTCCGGACCATTACTTAATGTACCTACTCGTCCCGTGTTCACCATGTAACTTATAGAATTAAAACAAAATATAGGTTCAAAGCTCCATTGAGGCTGGGTGGGTCAAGAACACTGTTTACTTCACTATTTGTCCTGGTGTTGATGCAGAGAGTATGTTCGTTTTAGCAAATTTAGGACACGATTCATAATAAATCTTCCAGCCTTCCAGAACAACTCGATGATTATCTTTAACTGTATCTGTGACCTTGTTACATGCAGCAGCATCAACGTACTGCACAGTCCGTGGCCCTCTTCACATCGAGTCGTGTCTCATCTGCAACACAACAACATCTCAGTTTTAGTTAATAGTGTAGTTTTACACCGCTTGTATCAATATTCCGCCGGGCCTCACACCGGGCCTCACACATTATACCCATGTGGAATCGAACCCGGGTCTTCGGCGTGATGACCACTGGGCTACCCCATCGCCCCGCCACCATCCATAGCTATCTAACACAGTACATACACGTGTGTATATGCATGTAACACAGTGCGTATATATATATCAATAACACACGACATGCATGTGTGTGTGTATGCGTGTGTTTGTTGGTATACGTTTGTAAGAGAGTTTGCTGGTCGTGTGCGTGCGTGCGTGGACATGGGGCGTTTGCGTGCGTGCTTATGTGTAGTAATGGTGTTGTACAGAGGGGGAGGTGGGGGGATTAATTTTCCAGCTAAATTGTCGCTAAATTGCCGACTAAATAATAGCTCACGTATCATGGGAGATTGAAATGTGGCGTTCATTTATCTCAGGAGGCACACCCATATCGGCGTTGGCTGCCACCAGTGTTCAGACAAGACTTGATTGAGTTTATGTTTCTAACGCCACTTTCAGCATTAGTCCAGCTCCAACACACGATTTGTAATAAATTCGACATTTGTACAATCTCTCAAAGATCCATATTTCTTGACAGGAATAATAGTCACAACTCGGAACACCAGCACACGTTCCCTCCCCCCGACAAGTTCTTACAGTTAAACTTACCTACGGGGACTGATGCCACAAGTGCCAAGAATAAAACCACGGAAACTGAAACACAAACACAGGCGGATCCTGAAACATCTAAGGGACCTAACTCCGTATAGCGAGTTGCAATCATCCTGGTTCCACAGTCTTTCTAATTAAATGCGACCACCTGTACGATCCATATGAAATACCTAACTTATCAAAATACAATAGAGAACAGCAACATAGCATGCTCGTGAATACAACTGACAAATGTTACCATTCTCATATCACATAATTGATCTTTCTATCAGTGAGACATAATATAACTGTAAGCAAATCTTAGCCGGTGACAATCATCGATTGATCAATAATGCAATACATCAGCGACGATCTCTGACAGTATCTTCTTATATGTGTGGTTCACGAATACAACATTCATTCTCTTACCAATAACAAGCTGCATACTTGGTACTGTATGTTGGTCAGGTATAGAAATCAAGCGTCTTTTGCAGTGTATATACGTATAGAAGTGACCTACAATCTATCATAGATAACGGTTATCTCTGAGATAAACGCATTTATTCATACTCTAAAGTATGTATTTGTGTTTCGGGTTAAGCTTTATTTACAACTAACAGTCTAGGGTTTTTCAAGGGCAGGTATTTCTTATTGTCCTGACCCAATAAGAAAGCAATTATTTTTTCTTGCTGTTAAAGAAGATTGAGTTAAAACTAAGTTTCTTTTGGCCGCCAGTATATCAATCTTTCATCGATAATACAATGGGATGAATGCATACAGTACAGCTCAAACACGAATGAAATACTGTATTGTGTTACAATGCTCAGTCCAGCGTAATAATACTGGAGTGCAAAAGAAGAGGGGTTTTTTGTTTGTTTTTTTCATTGAAAAGAACTGATATTTACTTTGTTCATGTAGATTCAACCATCACCCATTCATGCAACAGACTGATGTAATTCTGAGTAAAAATGAAATGATTCAACAGAGACTGGGATAGGAAATGAATTTGCAGTCCCACGACCACTAGGTACCATGTTTGAAGCGTAAATGTGTGCTGAAAGTATATTTCTTCATTTTCAATGATACGAAACCTAAAATGTCGGTCAGCAGATGTTACAAAAATAACATTTATTTTTCAAGAATTTAAAACAAATGATATCAGAAAAAACTGAAAAAAATAGAACCAGGTACAGGTATTCATTGAGTGCAGACTTTGTGCCAGAATATTATTGCTAACTTATTCTGTAACAGAAACATGTCATATAATCAACTGAGGTATAGTTGCCTTTGGTCTTCAGTCCACCTCTCTTCTTCAGGATAAATACAGGGGTGGTGGGGTAGCCTGGTGGTTAAAGGGTTTGCTCGTCAGAGAGACCCGGGTTCGATTCCTTACATGGGTACAATATGTGAAGCCCATCTCTAGTGTCCCCTGAAGTGATATGATTGAATATTGCTGAAAGCGACGTAAACTAAACTCACTCACTCACTCGGGATACATACCCCTCGCTTTCAACTTGATTCGAATGGCACGTCGCTAAAAATAGCAATCCAATCACATTACACTTATGTCGAGAGATACTACATGTTTATAAGAGAATGGAGATGACGTCATCAACATGGTGGCGAATTAGTGAGGGAGTTGAGTTTAACGCCGCTTAAATGAGGGCATGTCAGGCTGTTTGGGAGGAGGACCTGAAATGATGCAGGTCTTGGGCATTGTTCACTTTTATAAACTCACGGGCAATATAATCAGGATCCAGGTTATTAATCACGACAACATTGATTATACCCTTTGTAATCAAGGATGAAGTATATGCGTATCAAGACATTTAACATCAAAGACATTTTAAAAGCGTCATTTATTCATTGAACTCTCAAGCAACGGTTTATTTTCCATGTAAGTGAGTGAGTCTTCGGCGTGACGAGCGAACGCTTTAACCACTAGGCTACCCCACCGCCCTATTTTCCAAGTAAGTTAGAGTAATCCTTGTTAAGTACCTCCGGTTTCAGCGAAAGTGGAGGAGTGAGGAGTTATCCCGTAACGCCGTTTTGATCAATGTCAAAGGCGTGAACATATTTTCCTCGCGATGACCTATCGCCTAACCAGCTGATTATAAAGTGTTAAAGAGAAAATGACCCATTTCAAAAAAGGCCCCAGGCCATATGGAGAAAATCGCCCCAAATTTAGTGAAAATGAACACAAAACCAGTGTCCAATTTCGGGTCCATTTTCATCAAGAATTTGAAAATACACATTCTTTAAGAAATGGCTCATTTGTGTTTTTAACGACTTTCCCCATAAACGACAATTCTTCATGCGCTATTGCACAATCTAACAGGTTTACTTTGGAGCTGACAAGATGTACGGTACAATTAAAGGCATAAGGGGCTTCATGTGGTTTCTTACTTGCGGGCGGATAACATCTGTTCGTGGATTACCTCCCTTTCATCTTTCCGAAAATGGCGACCTCCATGTATAAATTGTGTTTTAGTAAATTATCAACTTTACAGATCTTTTTAGGTCGATATATTTAATTTTACATCAAGCTTTCGTCTATTTATGTAATACCAATAAGCTTACACATCATGGCATGACTGGGTTGATGCCTGTCTTCAGCAACCCATATTTGCAAAAGCTTGTGGTAACAACAGCCAAGCAGGTTGACAGGTACTGTTAAGATTGACCAATGAAGATCCGGTTTGAGATTGATCTTTTTCATGCTCATTCTAGTAGTTAGAGGTGACTATGTGGATCACGTGGTCAGGCTCAATGATTTGGTCGGTGCATGTCATAGTATCCCCGCACCATGATCAGGTAGATCGATGCTCATGATGTCAATCATTGGATGGAATTGTCTGGTCAAACTGGAATATTTACAAACCACTGTCATGGCGTTAACAACAAACAAACGAAAACGTAACCAAGAATCTGTTCAGGGCTACAGATAAGGGGCGTACAGACGTAATGTACGCCTCAAAATCAATTAAGTACGACATAATATAAGATTTCAAGCGTTTCGTGTACGCACATAAATACCTTTGTATGTCTAACATTTAATTTCCGTGCGTATCGTGCAAATGGAAATCTATTTCGGATAAATACTTGTCAAGTTTCTTTTGCGAAACACGATTTGACACATGAGGAAACCCCGACAGTAGGAATCACATGCGTTGCCATGCAACGATATGCGTCACTATTTTTCGATTGGCTAAAAACTACACTGTTCCTATTAATATCCAGTCGGACCTGACATTTCGCGCATCACACGGTCGCTCAGTTATTTCTCACGCGTCTTCAAATTCAAATACATGGTTGGAAATAGTGATCGATGAATCGTCCAAACAACCACATCACAACTCGCTCACACAAAAACATGTCAGTACGCCTTCAAAATTCTCAGTACACCTCTTGCAATATGATGTGTAAGAACACTCGCACCCCCCAAAAGTTATCTGGAGCCCTGATCTGTTCAATACGCTTAGTGTTATCTTTGCACTTATTGCTTGAATATTGCTAAAAGCGGCGTAAAACCCAACTCAGTCAGTCAGTCAGTATTGCTTGAATATTCCTAAAAGCGGCGTAAAACCCAACTCAGTCAGTCAGTCAGTATTGCTGGAATATTGCTAAAAGCGGCGTAAAACCCAACTCACTCACTATTGTTGCACTTTGTGAAGTGCTTTAGTTATTCTGCTTTGACAAACACCGACAAATAATTTCTTGAAGCGCTCGTGAATTCTAACCAATGCGCTTTAACAAAGGTGTTTGCAATTTCATTAAAATCAGAGGTTTTTATAATTGCTATATGGTGACGCAAATTAAACCACCAACTGAGGTGTGATAATCATGAAAGGCGGGGATAATCACAATGAGTGATAATTACACAAATTCCACTAAACGGTGACAGTTTACGCATTCTGCATTTAATGCGAGTCCACTTCTCACGTCATTTAGACCAAAATCAACCTGTAAATGTCACAACGTTATTGATTTCCACCTCCCAGAGGAGACATCTACTGGTGCAAGGTGTCCTTGTAAATATTTATTGATTGGGGAGAATTCTCAAGTAGGGAAGGTAGATGTTTTACAATTCGCTCAATACGGAAAGCATGGATTGCTGAAGACCACTGCCAAAGAATGCGTCACTGAAGGCAGCCTATTGTTCACATTGCATGTAGTAAAATATATTTCTGACTTAATGAATAATGACATCATGTCGTATTTTTTCAAAACGAATGTGATCTAATTTTGACTCCTTTGACCAGTAAACGTACGCAGAATCGCTAAAATGCATATTTGACAAAAAATACAATCATTCTGCTATATCGGTGCTATATCATTATCACCAAATCTATCTGTGATCATCATATACTCGAATGTCATTCTCAATCTGTGATCTTATCCTACCGGGTACCCAGGGTGAAAAGAGTCACTCGCCTAATGGGACACCGCGAGTAACATATGCTTTAGTATTGGGTAAGGGCGACTCTCTGAAAACTCATCTAACTACTCTCCGCCACCAGCTTTCTCACCACGCGTTATTTCGCCCTTGAACTTATTAAACCACGCATTTGGGTCGGTTTCCCCTGTCCGACACGCAGCTGTATCATGGTGACACTACTGGTTGACGCAAAACGAAATACCAGACCGGACATCTGACCCCACATGCACATGCGGATCAGTCCATTATTTCTCAGGGGTGATGCGCAAAGTGAAGAACACAAATCACAATTGTGACTTCTACGCTGCGTTTCACTGCCCACTGGGAGCAAGTGTTTGTTTGTTGTTTGTTTGTTTGTTTGTTTGTTTGTTTGTTTGTTTGTTTGTTTGTTTGTTTGTTTAACGCCAAGCTCAACTATATTATATTATCTTTAAAATATCGAGTCTGGACCAGACAGTCTAGTGTTCACATCATGAGCATCGATCTACCCAACTGGAATACGATGACATATGTCAACGAAGTCAGCGAGCCTGACCGCCCGATCGCGTTAGTCGCCTCAAGCATGGGTTACTGAAGATCAATTCTAACCCGGATCTTCACGGATCCAGGGTCAATTGAGAGAGTGCAGGAGTTTGAGTCAACAGTTGGTTTGTAAATGACATATAAATGAATATGAACTATACAACCATCCAACATAATAATCTGAGCTACATGTCATACGATGTACTTAAAAGTATTCAGTTTAAAAGACAACTGTTATTTAATACAATGAATCAAGTTCATTGTCAATAACCCAATTGTCTTAAGTTGATATGCATTATTCATGAAGGCGTGTATGTAGATCACATAGACGATTACACTTTAAGTAAATGTCACAGAGCGCAAACGTTGGAAACTGACCTTGGATAATGGTCAGATAAAACCATATTTAAGGCCAGAAAATGAATCGAGTTACTGCTTTAAATGAGTCCATGTGATGACCAAAATGATAGAAACTGGCGGTTAAAACGACCTTTAACTCTTTGGAAAAGAAAAGAAATGCAAAAGCGTCTTTTTAATTGATACGGACGGTATGTGAACCACTCACACTTATGAAACATAAACACCACTAAAATGCCACGCCTGACACCCGAAAAACGCGAGCAGGCCCAAGGTGTAATACAGATGGGAACCACCCCTGCCCACATAACTCGAACGTTTGGTTGCTCCCGTGTTGCAGTAACTCACCAGTAGCAATGTTACAGAATGACCGGACAGAAACCATACAAGAACAGACAGACCCAGGTTAACTACGCCCAGTGAAAACTGGTCCAGACTGTACGTCGATGGCAGCGACGTGACGGGCAGAAGGTCGTCTTCACTGATGAAAGCCGGTTCAGCGTTTTTACGGCCGAAGGGGAGAACGGCAGGAGATATGTTGAATTCAGGATTCGTGCCGTATGGTGGATGGGGTGCTTTGATGTGTGGGGAGGGGGAAGGGTGTATTTGTTGTCAGGAGAGAACACCAATGGCCAACATCAGCACTACACGGAGGACCGTATTCATCCAAAAGTTAAAAGTGTGGATGTGTCTTAGACAATCAGATACTCACCAAAATATATATCAATAGTAGCCCAGCCCGTTCTAGATAAAGTACTACTGATCTAGTTTTGATATTAATGATCCATCTAGTCAAATCGCCCAATTAATATACCAATTCAGCACAAAACATCACAATTAATGAGAGTGTGGTTTTACGCCGCTTTTAGCAATATTCCAGCCATACCAGGGACGGTGGGTGACATTAGAAACGAGATTCACACTCTGTACCCAAGTGGGGAATCGAACCCGGGTCTTCGGCTTGACGAGCAAACGCTTTTAAGATGCCCCTACCTGCCCTCATCACACCTTACGGAAGTGAACCGCAATGTCTGCCAAAATCTTGGGATGTTTTTATATGAAAGATGCACCGTGTCTCGCTGGTTCTGGGATATTGCTTGAATATTGTTTTATAACACTCACTCGCTCCAACGAAAAATAAGGTATGATCTTGTAACAGTAGGTAGCAAAGACGTTTGTAAGAGGATGTTAAAAAGCTATTGGTTTTTTTCTCAGTAAATCACTACATGTCTGCATAATTTATGCATTTCTGACGTTTCAGATAAAATGCTAATCATATTCATTTTAGTATTGTGATTTATTGAAGTAACATGCTACCCTATGCTGGAGGTAGTTTCAGTTAATGCTTTGTTTTACTTCTAAGTTTTAGGACAACACACTGACTGTCATGAGTTCGCACCAAGCAGATACAGTTGGTGTCGATCTGCATGTAGTAGAAGGGGAACCAGACATCAGCGTCCAGCAGGATCCCCACCCCACTTACCTGATGTCATGGGGGCTGTTATAACTGTGTGGCTACTGTCACTAGGTGTCTCGCAGACTGCAGGGGTAGCACTGTCCTCCAGCGTCCAATTGTGTACAGACACCTGTGTGAAGACCGGGATGTGTGAGGGGCCAACACTGCCCGACATGATTGCTTGTTACATCAACACTGGACACAGGAAGGACAAAGGATTCGAGAAACAAAACGATCAGGTGAGCGTCTATGTATGTTCATTACAAGTAATCTGTGTTCTTGAGACTAAGATCTTCCTCAGACTGAGGTGCTTTTGAGATTGTGTTCCGGAGACTGTGTTCCTGACACTAAGATGTTCCTGAGACTATGTTGTTCCTGACACTAAGCTTTAATTGTGACTAAAGTGTTCATAAAACCAAGACGTTTTTGAGTCTGTGTTCCTGAGACTAAGGTGTTCTTGAGACTAAGGTGTTCCTGAGACTGAGGTGTTCTTGAGACTAAGGTGTTCTTGAGACTAAGGTGTTCTTGAGACTAAGGTGTTCTTGAGACTAAGATCTTCCTCAGACTAAGGTGCTTTTTAGATTGTGTTCCGGAGACTGTGTTCTTAAGACTAAGATGTTCCTGAGACTATGGTGTTCCTGACACTAAGGTATACTTGTAACTAAAGTGTTCTTAAAACCGAGACGTTTTTGAGTCTGTGTTCTTGAGACTAAGGTGTTCTTGAGACTAAGGTGTTCTTGAGACTAAGATCTTCCTCAGACTAAGGTGCTTTTGAGATTGTGTTCCGGAGACTGTGTTCTTAAGACTAAGATGTTCCTGAGACTATGGTGTTCCTGACACTAAGGTATACTTGTGACTAAAGTGTTCTTCAAACCGAGACGTTTTTGAGTCTGTGTTCCTGAGACTAAGGTGTTCTTGAGACTAAGGTGTTCTTGAGACTAAGGTGTTCCTGAGACTGAGGTGTTCTTGAGACTAAAATGTTCTTGAGACTAAGGTGTTCTTGAGACTAAGGTGTTCTTGAGACTAAAGTTTTCCTGACACTAAGGTATACTTGTGACTAAAGTGTTCTTAAAACCAAGAGGTTTTTGAGTCAATGTTCCTGAGACTAAGGTGTTCCTGAGACTAAGGTGTTCCTAAGACTAAGGTGTTCTTGAGACTAAGGTGTTCTTGAGACTAAAGTGTTCTTGAAACTAAGGTGTTCTTGAGACTAACGTTTTCCTGACACTTTTGTCTTCCTGAGACTAAAGTCATCAGCCATGACGACCCCTGTCAGTCTAAATATCACAGCCTGCAATATCCCACATTGATAAATATGAATGAGTCAGGCTTTTTTATACTTGAAGTCACACTCGTCACGTGCTGGAGTGGAAAGAGATTTCGTGCTGGCATTTCGTGGCTACGTGAACGTCACATTATGTACTTCTTTATTTATTAATTATGGGGTTGCCTAGTGGTTAAAGCCTTCTTTCGTCACTCTACTGACCCGAGTTCGATTCCCCAAGTGGGTACAATGTGTGTAGCCCATTTCTGGTGTCCCCCGCTGTGACATTGCTGGACTATTGCTAAAAGCGGCGTAAAACTAAACTCACTCACATAATTATTTGACGGCATACGTAAATTCTAAGAGAAAATTATATACAAACGCTTCCGTTATAATGTTCCCCGTTGGAGAGGACAGGATTGATTCAGGTTGTCCTGTGTGTTTTGTAGATCAGAGATCTACTGTTGTCCTCATTAAAGCTATTTATATATCCCAAACGTTTTAAAAGTCCCATCTACGTCGCTGTACCTTTGACTTTTGAAAACAGTGACAAGTGTCCCACGGTTTGTTCAGATCCCCAATGGTTATTCGATCGGTGATCGACAAACACTGAAAACCCACGATTGTCGTAACAGATGACTAACAGGATCGGGTGGTCAAGCTTCTGACTTGGTTGACACATGACATCGTATCCCAATTGCGTAGATCATGATGTTGATCACTGGATTGTCTGGTCCAGGCTCGATTGTTTACAGACCGCTGCCAAATAGCTCGGCGTTAAACAACCAAACCAAACCGTATGAGAACCCAATGGATATAGCCTATTTTACTTGTCTTCATCCCACAAAAAAAGAAAAACCTGTAATGTGATAAATATAGATATTCATTTGATTTAGAAGTCAAGAACGTCATGACTACATAACAAATTCCTCTTTTTTCAATATTGATATAATATTCATCTCATCAAGTGTGCTGATTATTTTGTTTCTTTTGAGTGGAGCATCTTTCCATCTGTTTCAAGTGTCCCTTGGCGTTGTCATCTGCGTAGAGGAAGAAGTGATACTTTTGTCTTCGGACATTCATAATCTTTATCTAGAAGACAAAGTAGGCGAAACAATCTCAGTGGGCTCACTATTGTGTAAAAGGCCAGTTTACATCAACACCGAAGTTGGCTTGAATGGTTACATTTTGGCTTGGATAATAAGACAGTGACTGACGATACCCTGTTTGTATACAACACGGGGAAGATTGGGCCGCTGTTTCGTACCGGTGTTGACCACAATGATAATGATAATGATAATGAATCTGTAGAGCGCCTATCTTCCAGCTGCAGCTGTTCAGTGACGCTTGTGTCAACAATGTCAAGAGACAAGTTTGTAAGATTTTGTAAAGAGGTGAGTTTTCAGATTTGTTTTGAATATCTCGATTGATGTTGCAGATGTTAGTTCATGGGGCAGTGAGTTCCATAGTTTAGGAGCAGCGACTGAAAATGATCTTTCTGCCAACTTTGTGTTTGTGTTTGGTAAAACCAGTCTTTGACCGTAAGCAGACCTCAGAGCAGAAGTAGGATGGTAAACTTGAACAAGTTCTTTCAGGTAACCTGGTGAGTTCTCGTCATTCAGCGCGGAATATGTTAGAACGAGGACTTTAAACTGGATCCTCTGTTTGACCGGAAGCCAGTGCAGCTGCTTCAGTACAGGGGTGATGTTGTCGAACTTTTTTTGTCCTCGTCATGACTCTTGCAGGCATGTTCTGCACCCATTGAAGGTGTGATGACACACTGGGTTCAATCAGGAGGGAGTTGCAAAAGTCTAAGAGTGTACAAGTAGCTTAGTGGTGTCGGTGTCTAGATATTTTCTTATTTTGCCGATATTTCTAAGATGCATTGTGGCAGTGCGGGCTGATTTCAGGGCATGGTGGGTTGCAAATAGAGTCTTGTTGATAGGAGCACCAAGATTCCTTACTTGATCTGTTGGGTGTATCTAAACTACACTAATGGAAAGTGGCTGTGGTGAAATTTTCTGTAACTGATGTTTAGTTACTTGTATCATAAACTCGGTTTTGTCTTCATTTAGTTTAAGAAGGTCAGCGTACGTCCATTGACTGTACACACGATTCCAATTTGGCATAACATAACAGCTACGATGATGGTTTAGCACAGACGTAGAGATGGTAGTCTAGGCCTTTGTCGCACATGATGCTACCGATCGGTAGGATATATACGGAAAAGAGTACTGGTCCAAGTACCGATCCCTGTGGCACACCGTACGTCAAGTCACATGATTAGAAAGTCACACCGTCGACATGCACACTTATCTTGCGGCCTCTGAGCTACGACTTGAACCACGACAGCGTTAATCCTGTAATCCCTGCTGTATGTTCAAGCGGGAATGGGTACACAGTGTCCATTTGCAAAAAAAGGATGTCAACAGTTTTTATTCCAAATCCTTTCAGGTTCTTAATCAAGCATTGATACTAATAGTATGCATTTCGCGAGGTAACACAGGTTGTATCACAATAAAAATCATGATTATCGATAAGATCATTATGACTAGGTGCATTTTTTTTGTTTTAAGCAAATACGAGTTTTATGAAATGGCGGAAACTGATTGGTCAAAAGGGGCGACATAGAAGGGACATAACTCGTAACAGTCACGACTTTCCGGTGAGCTAGCTCCCATGCCTCGGGAGGAGGGACTAACAGGTTGTTTTCTGCACACAGGAGCCTGATGTCCCAGCTGAGGTAACAGAGATCGGCTGTGTGACGGAAGAGAGCACTCGAGGATCCCCCCGCTGTCTGTTTGGTATGTGGAATGGCAATTGTTTTGAAATGGCATCTCACATGACGTAGGCTGTTGGGTCAACGTTGATCTGTGTATATATCTACATGTGGGGTCCGATGGAGTTTCGTTTGTTTGTTTGTTTGTTTGTTTGTTCTCCTGCTATATGGCGGCGGTCTGTAAATAATCGAATGATTAATATCATGAACATCAATCAACGCAAATGGAATACGACTTCATGCATCAACCAAATCAGCCTTTGTCGCCTGTTACTGCTATATGATTCGATTCTGGACCAGACACTCCAGTGATTAACAGCATGAGCATATCAACCAAATGTTATAACATGACATGCATCAAGACGGACAGATAGCTTGACCACCCGATGCCCTTAGTCGCCTTTTACAATAAGCATTGGTTCCCGAAGATCAATTCTAACCCTACTCTTCACGGGTAGATTGTGTGTGAAGGCAAAAAATGTACCATCTGGTCTTGTCATCTTTTGTTTATGTGAGTGTCACGTGTTTCCTTCAGGTCATTCCCGGGATGAGGGGCAGGAAGTAGCCATCAAACAGTAAACAAGTTGTTGTCAATGAAAGGTTTCATGTCTTCGTGGTCTTGTACATTCCTATCAAAGACAAAACATGTTTGATCTGTCGTGGAGTATATTTCAATGGTCAGATGTATATATCTTTACAGACCTATGTACACTCTTCGTGGGACCAAGGCTGGCTTCTGAGTGTCGACCTCCACCATGGGAGCTGCGAGATGCGGCCGATAAGGTTTTTAACTGTACAAGGGGACATAATCACGGAAAACCAACATGTATCCGAGGGAAGACTCGAGGAAGTCACAGAAGTGTAGGCGATGGTATGTATAAAGAATTAGCATTGATACGCTTTGTTTGTAAAATAATTATCCATATCTTCTGAATTTGTACGGAAGAGTTATCTTCTCTTGTGTAAACAATTTTATGTATTATATAAATGCAGGAAGCAGCACGAGCCTAGTGAAGCCAGGTTGAATTTAAACCGTTGCCTAGTAATAAATGACGAAGACAACATTCAGTCGATCTGGTTATTGTGGAACTATGTGAGATGAATTCTAATGAGTAACGTTTTATGAAGGTTATAAGGAGTACAAAGCTGGGAAGGAGACGATCTATGTCAAGGAGTATACTACAGAAAAGACGTGGGATCAAGCCGCTCAACAGTGTCACTCAGATGGGGCGAGGCTTATTAAACTGGACAGAAAAGAGAAAAATGAAGCCATTAAACAACATAAAAGTGAGTCTCCACGCAGCGAATGCAACATTTGTTGGTTCTATCATAGAGGTCATCCAGGAATATTCTAATGAGAGGTTTTAAATCTTGTCCTTTAGGGTCCATTGGCCCAACGTCTTAAAGGCACCATTGTACCAATGGACTTTTAACATTATACTACTTAGGGAAGCTTACCGTTAATGTCGCTTTGTGAAGTGAGGCTTTTATGTTTGGTTGTCTACTAATGAATCAGTAGATAATAAAACATAGAGTGTAACGTGTTATATTTGGGATTGCACTTACTTAGTAAGTGACCAATTATTTTAGAACTTTTTGGTTCAAGTTAATTCCATTCTATTTACACTTATCGGTAAGTTCCAGCAGTTCATTTGGATATATTATGACAGCAGTCATCATTACAACAATTCCTTTGTTTGAATCCCAGTAATCATGTCGTGGTTGTTGTGTATTGCGTGTAAAATGTAAAATGTGTTTGTAAACATTTGTCATGAGGAGAGGCATCAACGATAAAAGGCCAAACCAAATCATTTAATTACGAAATGCCAAGATTGAAGGCTACTAACCGACATATCGCCATTGGACGTTTAGAAGCAGGGGAGTCCCAGTCTGCCGCTGTAAGGCACTTCAACGTCCACCCACAGCACCATATATCGATTATGGCAGCTTCAATTCCACCGAAGATCATCCCTAAAGTGGAAGACCAAGAGTGACCACTCCTACTCAGGACCGATTCATCCGGGTGTTTCACCTACGTCACCGATTTACTACAACAACGGTCACTGCAGGACAGGTGCCTGGTCTAAGAATTTCCGACCAAACCATCAGAAATCGTCTGAGACAAGTGCGACTTATAGCATATCGACCAAATGTTGGACCTGTCCTGACACGACTACGACGACAACGACGTGTACAGTGGTGCAACAGGGTACAGGCATGGAACCTGGAATACTGGCGACGCGTTTGGTTCAGCGATTCATCGCGTTTACTCCTCCAACGACGGGATGGGAGACAACGTTTCTATCGACATCAACACAAACGTTTTGAGCCGAACTGCGTTCGACAGGTGGGCACTTTTGGTACAGAAGGCGTTATAGAATGGGGAGCCATGTCCTACACGGGTAGATCAAAGCTAGTGGTGGTTCAAGGTAATCTTACAGCAAATCGCTACATAGACCAAATCCTGCGATCCCACCCCCTCTCACTTTTGAACCGGCTGAGGGAGCTGTTTCAACACGACAACATTCGACCCCTACACAGCTGGTGTAACAGGTGCCTATCTCGCCAACGCAAACGTCAATGTCCTTCCCTGGCCTTCCAAATCGCATTTTCTGAACCCGATCGAGCATCCATGGGACAAACTTGATCGACGCGTCCGTAAACGTCACCATCGTCCTCAAACACCTGCAGAATTTGCCAACGCGTTGCAGGAGGAATTGCAAAGGATTCCCCAAGCAAAGATCCTACGACTTGTGCAACACCTTCTAAGGTGGTGTCGAGCAGTGACGACTGCAATGGGTGATGTCACCAGGTACTGACCTGAACGCCCCTTGTGTCCACACGCGTGTAGTGAGTGAACTGAATTAGTGCTGACAGTGACAATACATATCTTCATTCATATGTCGAAGGGGCGGTGGGGTAGCCTAATGGTTAAAGCGTTGGCTCGTCACGCCGAAGACCCGGGTTCGAATCCCCACATGGGTACAATGTGTGAAGCCCATCTCTGGTGTCCCCCGCCGTGATGTTGCTGGAATATTGCTAAAAGCGGCGTAAAACCAAACTCAGTCAGTCAGTCATATGTCGAATTTCCTTCTTCTGTGTTCAAGCTTAATCGACTTGTGTACACTTAAATACGCTTAATACATGTCCTTACTTTTGGCCTGTATGATTTTTGTATTCTGCTTTTGACTAGTTTATATTGACCTCTTCTTGTATGTTGGGCACCTTAAGCTTACTGGATCACTAGCCTGGCGCCTTAGGCAGCTCGCCCACCACGCCCCACTCACTCAACAAATCATTCAATCTCGCTCGCTCACTCACACAATGACTCACTTTCTCACTCACTCGCCTGTTCTAGTTCTGCAGTGGATGGCGCTCACTCACTCACTCACTCACTCACTCATTTCAGTTCAACACTGGATCGGGCTGAAGGATATGTATGACAACGACACCTTCTTCTGGACGGATGGCTCCCCACTGCGATTCACCTCCTGGTCCTTCATGGAGCCATCTCACTTCTCTAAAGTGAACATAAGGGAAAATTGCGCGGAGGCATCTCGACGGTTGCTGAGGGTGGTGTGGAATGACTGCGACTGCCTCCAATACCATCCCTTCCTGTGTGAAAAACTGTTCTGACCACGTGGAAGTTATATATTTTGTCCTTTTACTTGTTGGTTTTAACAGAACGTGATATAACAGCCTCGTCAAATCGTGTATTACATTTCAACTTTAAATATTTCTTACATGTATTTAGTTTCAAAGTGGACTCCAATTTAGGTTCCCAGTACGTATCACGACGTACAATTTTAAACTCTGGCATGATTTTAAGGAAAGAGCGGGACAGAAGACACCATACTGAGTAAGAGTTCGGAGTGTCAAAGGTAACGTTAACAATACTAGAGGCTGTGATAACATTTCATTGTGACGTCATGGTATCTGACGTGACTGGTGCATAAAATAGATAAAACAAGCCAACTAAAATGATTTTATTTTTTCAGTTATTACATTACATTTGAAATTACAGTTCATTTAATGACTATTGGAACGCTCGTGAAAATGAAGTGTGCAACCTCCCCCACCACCATTGGAAAGGATGGGTTTTTTTTATTGGATTTCAGTATAATTTTTAAGATCCTGTACAGATGTTAAAACGTTTGAAGAGAGAAATTTCACTTAAAATTGCTGCAACTTTAGTTTCTGAGTAGGTCCAGCTACATCCCCCAAAACATACAGTTTACAAACCCAATCGTCGTTTCCAGATTCCCAAATAAGATCAAATAGGTTCAATTTTTTATATCAATATATAGACCTGCGGATAAATAAGGTGAACGAAGTAGTAGACAGGGTAAATAGTTTTTTCTGTTTTGTTTTATTTACCATTCTTTTAATCTATTAAAAGATAGAAACCCATGCTTTCAGATTATTGGTTTAATTAAGAATTGAATGTCAGTTTGTGTGTTTGCACTGAAAAATGAACGATGTCAAAGCGGTGTTCAAACTCGTGTGAACGAGCGAGTTTACGAGCGAGTTCACGCGAGAGTTTGAACAACGCTTTGACATCGTTCATTTTTCAGTGCAAACACACAAACTGACATTCAATTCTTATAATTTCGCACTTTGAAGTTTACACATACGTTTTCCACCCACTTGTAGATGATCATTGTTTAGTGTGTTTTAATACCTGTAAAATGTTGTAATGCCATTCGGTTCAAGAAGGTACGTATTGCAGCGATGTTTGTATACACAGCGATTTTATTTTTACACATGTATCCCAACCCTTGAAGAAATAGTTCTCAAAGTATTCGATCTTTAAAATATAACAACAAATTCGTTATGAGGTTTGAAACTGCTTTAATAAGTATAATCAATAACAGTATCAAACAGAAACAAATATCAGAAGCAATAACAATACCATTTTAACAAACTGGCATTGTACCTTTTCACTTGTAAATACCTTGTTTGACCGCGTAATAATACACTGACCGACTTCGAAGTTGTGCGGCGTGGCGAATATAGGAAACAGATCTTGTTGTATTCTATTTATTTGTGATTGTTTATTGTGAAATTTTTTTTGCAGTTGTTAAACAGACCTCGGGGCAGAAAACCGCCGGACGAACCCGCAAACTGCGAGACATTAAACTCCTGTGAAAAGGAACAATGTTCGGCAATCCGTTTGGTAGTGACATTGCCAAACTTGGGGTGACTTGAAACAGGTTCGTTCGCGAAATATTGGTATCACCAATTATTGGGGGTCCTTGAAACCGAAGCGAAAAACGTTCACACACGTATGAACGGTGTTTACACAAGTATGAACGATTAGAGGGGTTCAAGAGTAATGAACCTTGAAATTTAGATCACATGACCTCTCTCTCAACCAACCAACGTTCGGGAATCTGTGTAAACTTGAAAGCACGAAATTATCTAAATTTGAACAACGGATTGCTAGATAAAGGCAGTGTTCACGATAGGTTTATAGATACTGAAGGTTCACCAACTTGTACATATGGTTGTGTTCACGGTTTTTATAAAATTACGATGGGAATTTAAAATAAAAAATTAAAAAATGGCACCCCTCCGATGCTAATATCTTTGACGGACGTGAATTGCCTGATTAATTCGAAAGAAAATAGGCTTCACACTGTCAGCAGCTAGTCAATACGATTTTGCAACTCATTTTCACTCGCCCTATACAATCTGAAAACTAAAATGTTTTCAAAACCAAATGGTACAACGATCCCCTTCAAATATTATTCACAGACGGATACCAAAGTACCACAAGCAGAATTCATCAACAACGCGTTCACGTTTTGTCCTCGGTGACACCATAGCGATTAGTCTCCGCTAACGTCCAAGGTGTCGGCCCGGGAAAGCGCCATTTCAATAATTATTTTGAGTATACCCGGTAAAGCGTGGGTCATTCTCACTTACCCACCACCCTAAAGTTATGATAAGGGATTAAAGAGGATTAGTGTACACGGGTTAGTGATTACACTGCTCACCGTGAAATTCGGTCCTGGTGGGTGACACTAATTAGTCTCATCCACGTGAACGGTGTTCACCGTTCATGAACTGCGGTTATTGACTTCTTGTTGTTGCTGATTTTTAAATAAATTTAGTGAACACTCTTTACCATCACCCTCACTACATAATGATACATATGATCGGTTATGAAGTCAGTCACGATGGCTAACCAACAAGTGAATGTCAAGTTCATTCCCAATGGTAGGGGCGGTCAGTATTTGATTTTCCAGAATTATAGGTTCACAATTAAGAGAAGAAGAGGTACGTCCATCCATTAGAACTGTGCCCAGAAATCCTGCCATGCCACGGTTAACACCAAAGATAACTTTGTGACGTCCTTCAGAGACCAGCATAACCATCCAACGGTGGAGAACAAGATTGCAGTAGACGCCTTCCTAGTCAACCTCAAAGATCTTGTCCGCCAAGACTCCAAACCAATTCCATCGCTTTATCAGGAAGAGTTGGCAGGTAAATTTATGAACTAATTACAAATTATTAATGATATCACGTAAATGAAATATTGCAATTAGAATAACGATTAATATTTAAATTACAGTCGTGTTTTTGCTTGAAGTCTCAGAGTGACAAATCCAGATATCGTCCCAGAAGTACCTGTCTTTGACAGTTTACACACTGCCCTCTACCGTTCCCGTGCCAAAGACATTCCCCATCTGCCAGACCCAAGATCAGCTATAGATCTACCCGATGTCTACACCAAGACCCAGACCGACGACAACTTTCTGCTGTTCTCCATCGGCGACAACGACAAGATTTTCGCCTTTGCAACAGACGACAACCTACGACTACTCTCCGAAGCAGATGTCCTGTACTGTGATAGGACATTCGACAAATGCCCTGGTATTTTTACCCAGCTCTACACCATCCATGCATTTGTGCAAAATAAGATGTGTCCATTAGTGTATGGGCTGCTGCCAGATAAGAAGCAAACAACATACGAACGTTTCTTTAGCCACGTGAAGAGTGTTTCAGCCTCTAAGAACATTGTTCTAAATCCAACATCTGTGTTTACTGATTTTGAGTCAGCTGCTCAAAACGCCATTGTTAGGACTTTCCCAAATGTAATTTTGAAAGGTTGTTATTTCCATTTCAGCCAGAGTGTTTCGAGGAAAGTCCAAAAACTAGGCTTGGTGACCGATTATGAGGACAATCCAGATGTAGCTCGTCTTGCCTCTTGTGCCAGTTGACAGTGTGAGCGATGTGTGGTGGCAGGCACTAGACGATGCTACTCCTGGATTTAATGTTGAACGATTTACTGACTATGTTGTAACCTCATACTGGGTAGAAGGTGACCATGGTAGAACATTGTGGAATCGCTTCACCACTGAGGGCCCCCGGACCACAAATCATGTAGAAGGATGGCACAGGAAACTGTAAACAATCATATGTTGAGGCCTCATGTATGCAGTTAAGGGGCGGTGCCAAACCTCCACGCAAGAAGAGGAAACATGTACATATGAATGCACGATTGTGCAATCTTAAACAGCAGTTTTTGGCTGACAACATGATTGTGTATGCATATTGTGACGTAGTTTCTCATTTAACTGGGTACTGAATTGTATGAAATGTGTTAAATGTGTTAAAATGTATACACGTGAACATTAAAGCCCCCAGTCAATGTATACACATGAACATTAAAGCCCCCAGTCAATGTATACACATGAACATTAAAGCCCCCAGTCAATGTATACACATGAACATTAAAGCCCCCAGTCAATGTATACACATGAACATTAAAGTCACCAGTCAGTGTATACACGTGTACACATTAAGGCCACCAGTCAGTGTATACACGTGAACATTAAATCCCCCCGGTCAGTGTATACACGTGAACATTAAAGCCCCCGGTCAGTGTATACACGAGAACATTAAAGCCCCCGGTCAGTGTATCACCGTGGACATTACAGCCCCCGTCAGTGTATACACGTGAACATTAAAGCCCCCGGTCAGTGTATACACGTGAACATTTAAGCCCCCCGGTCAATGTATACACGTGAACATTAAAGTCCCCCGGTCAGTGTATACACGTGATAAAGCAGACGGTCAGTGTATACACGAGAACATTAAAGCCCCCGGTCAGTGTATCACCGTGGACATTACAGCCCCCGTCAGTGTATACACGTGAACATTAAAGCCCCCGGTCAGTGTATCCACATGAACATTTAAGCCCCCCGGTCAGTGTATCCACGTGAACATTAAAGCCCCCCGGTCAGTGTATACACGTGAACATTAAAGCAGACGGTCAGTATTTATGAACATTAAAGCCCCCGGTCAGTGTATACACGAGAACATTAAAGCCCCCGGTCTGTGTATGTACGTGAACATTACAGCCCCCGGTCTGTATATGAACGTGAACATTAAAGCCCCCGGTCTGTGTATGTACGTGAACATTAAAGCCCCCGGTCTGTGTATACACGTCAACATTAAAGCCCCCGGTCTGTGTATACACGAGAACATTAAAGCCCCCGGTCAGTGTATCCACGTGAACATTACAGCCCCCGGTCTGTGTATGTACGTGAACATGAAAGCCCCCGGTCTGTGTATCCACGTGAACATTAAAGCCCCCGGTCTGTGTATCTACGTGAACATTAAAGCCCCCGGTCTGTGTATATACGTGAACATTAAAGCCCCTGGTCAGTGTATCTACGTGAACATTAAAGCCCCCGGTCTGTGTATGTACGTGAACATTAAAGCCCCCGGTCTGTGTATGTACGTGAACATTAAAGCCCCCGGTCTGTGTATATACGAGAACATTAAAGCTCCCGGTCTGTGTATACATGAGAACATTAAAGCCCCCGGTCAGTGTATCCACGTGAACATTAAAGCCCCGGTCTGTGTATATACGTGAACATCAAAGCCCCCGGTCTGTGTATATACGTGAACATTAAAGCTCCCGGTCAGTGTATACACGCGTGAACATTAAAGCCCCGGTCAGTGTATCCACATGAACATTTAAGCCCCCCGGTCAGTGTATCCACGTGAACATTAAAGCCCCCCGGTCAGTGTATACACGTGAACATTAAAGCAGACGGTCAGTATTTATGAACATTAAAGCCCCGGTCAGTGTATACACGAGAACATTAAAGCCCCGGTCTGTGTATATATGCGTGAACATTAAAGCCCCGGTCTGTATATGAACGTGAACATTAAAGCCCCCGGTCTGTGTATGTACGTGAACATTAAAGCCCCCTGTCTGTGTATTTACGTGAACATTAAAGCCCCCGGTCTGTGTATACACGTCAACATTAAAGCCCCCGGTCTGTGTATACACGAGAACATTAAAGCCCCCGGTCAGTGTATCCACGTGAACATTAAAGCAGACGGTCAGTATTTATGAACATTAAAGCCCCCGGTCAGTGTATACACGAGAACATTAAAGCCCCCGGTCTGTGTATGTACGTGAACATTACAGCCCCCGGTCTGTATATGAACGTGAACATTAAAGCCCCCGGTCTGTGTATGTACGTGAACATTAAAGCCCCCTGTCTGTGTATACACGTGAACATTAAAGCCCCCGGTCTGTGTATACACGTCAACATTAAAGCCCCCGGTCTGTGTATACACGAGAACATTAAAGCCCCCGGTCAGTGTATCCACGTGAACATTACAGCCCCCGGTCTGTGTATGTACGTGAACATGAAAGCCCCCAGTCTGTGTATCCACGTGAACATTAAAGCCCCCGGTCAATGTATACACGTGAACATTAAAGTCCCCCGGTCAGTGTATACACGTGATAAAGCAGACGGTCAGTGTATACACGAGAACATTAAAGCCCCCGGTCAGTGTATCACCGTGGACATTACAGCCCCCGTCAGTGTATACACGTGAACATTAAAGCCCCCGGTCAGTGTATCCACATGAACATTTAAGCCCCCCGGTCAGTGTATCCACGTGAACATTAAAGCCCCCCGGTCAGTGTATACACGTGAACATTAAAGCAGACGGTCAGTATTTATGAACATTAAAGCCCCGGTCAGTGTATACACGTGAACATTAAAGCCCGGTCTGTGTATGTACGTGAACATTACAGCCCGGTCTGTATATGAACGTGAACATTAAAGCCCCCGGTCTGTGTATGTCCGTGAACATAAAAGCCCCCGGTCTGTGTATACACGTCAACATTAAAGCCCCCGGTCTGTGTATACACGAGAACATTAAAGCCCCCGGTCAGTGTATCCACGTGAACATTAAAGCAGACGGTCAGTATTTATGAACATTAAAGCCCCCGGTCAGTGTATACACGAGAACATTAGAGCCCCCGGTCTGTGTATGTATCGCGTGAACATTACAGCCCCGGTCTGTATATGAACGTGAACATTAAAGCCCCGGTCTGTGTATGCGTGAACATTAAAGCCCCTGTCTGTGTATATGCGTGAACATTAAAGCCCGGTCTGTGTATGTATACACATCAACATTAAAGCCCCGGTCTGTGTATACACGTGAACATTAAAGCCCCGGTCAGTGTATCACGTGAACATTAAAGCCCCGGTCTGTGTATGTACGTGAACATGAAAGCCCCCGGTCTGTGTATCCACGTGAACATTAAAGCCCCCGGTCTGTGTATACGTGAACATTAAAGCCCCGGTCTGTGTATACACGTGAACATTAAAGCCCGGTCAGTGTATACACGAGAACATTAAAGCCCCCGGTCAGTGTATCACCGTGGACATTACAGACCCCCGGTCAGTGTATACACGTGAACATTAAAGCCCCGGTCAGTGTATCCACATGAACATTTAAGCCCCCGGTCAGTGTATCCGCGTGAACATTAAAGCCCCGGTCAGTGTATACACGTGAACATTAAAGCAGACGGTCAGTATTTATGAACATTAAAGCCCCCGGTCAGTGTATACACGTGAACATTAAAGTGAACATTAAAGCCCCGGTCTGTGTATATGAACGTGAACATTAAAGCCCCGGTCTGTGTATATGCACGTGAACATTAAAGCCCCGGTCTGTATG